CAATCACAGTCCAGCTCACCTTAACTACCAATGAGAAGTTGGGCTGCAGTTTGTTTTACCACACTTTTAGCGCCATTCTAAGCAGAGTTATGGAGCTGTGGTGGCTCAAGTGGTTAAGACGCTGAACTGCAGGCTGTGGAAGAAGGTCGGTAGTTCAGCAGTTCGAGACCCGGGTGCCGCATGATGGAGTGAGCTCCCATCTCTAGTTCCAGCTCCTGCCAACCTAGCAGTTCGAAAGCAAGAAATTGCAAGTAGAGAAATAGGGACCACTTCGGTGGGAAGGTAACAGCGTTCCATGCGCCTTGGTGTTTAGTCATGCCGGCCACATGACCACGGAAACGTCTTCGGACAGCGCTGGCTCTTCGGCTTTGAAACGGAGATGAGCACCGCAACCCTAGAGTTGGATTCGACTGGCTTTCGAGCAAGGGAACCTTTACCTTTACCTTTAAGCAGAGTTAATTTTAATTGAATTATTTAAATATTTATTAGCTACCTTATGGAACTCAAGGCAGCTTATAATATAAACATCCCCCCATAAAAATACATTTAAAATCACAATTTAACACAACCAATTAATTAAAATAAATTAATTGTAAGCCCTCCTAAATAAAACTATCTTCAACTCCCTTCCAAAGACTGTAATACTTCTAAGTCCACTGAAGTTAATGGGCTTACAAAGGTGTATTTCTGCTTCAGATGGCACTGCTAGGAAACATTCATGGTTTCATAAGATTGTTCAATTTGTAGATAATATATCAAAGAGCAGAGAAACATCTACTAGCCTGTAGCCTATATATGCCATCATGTCCACTCAGCCATCTTTCCTGATAGCTCAAAAACCAGGGTAGAAGCCAGTGGCATCCCTTTGGCCAAACAACCAATTATGATCCTCTCTGTCAGAAAGGGAACCCGGAGATATGGGGAAATGACTTCTGTTGTCATCCGACTTATTGTGCTTACAAGTAGCCCGACAGAGGAAGAGGCGCACTAAGCCACTGGGTCTGTCTTGTGCTACCTGGCAGCTGAGGGACATTACTAAGGTCCCCAACTTCCTGAAGGACAAATGTCCTGTCTCTTTAATAGAGGCTTAGGTAAAGGTAAAGGTTCCCTTGCTCGAAAGCCAGTCGAATCCGACTCTAGGGTTGCGGTGCTCATCTCCGTTTCAAAGCCGAAGAGCCAGCGCTGTCCGAAGACATTTCCGTGGTCATGTGGCCGGCATGACTAAACACCAAGGTGCACGGAACGCTGTTACCTTCCCACTGAAATGGTACCTATTTATCTACTTGCAATTTCCTGCTTTCGAACTGCTAGGTTGGCAGGAGCTGAAACTAGAGACAGGAGCTCACTCCGTCATGCGGCACCCGGGTCTTGAACTCCTGAACTACCGACCTTCCACAGATGCAATTCTGGGCCATGAAAAGCTTCAGTAGCTCATTTCCTCACATTAACCCCATGCTAAAAGGACAGATCACTTTTTTACTCCAGGTAGCTGCCACAGTCAATTTTGGTAAGAGCAATTCTGGGAAGCCACCCCCAAAATTTACATCCGTATGCACTCAACCAGATTTTTACACCCACAATGTGTATTTTCTACCCAACCCAATGCTTTCCACATCTCTTCTCCTGCCATAACATTCTTATGTTGCTCTTCAGGTACAAAGCTTGAACCAACAGAGTCACACAAGAACTGTTTGTGAGTAAGCACTTCCGTCTATTATATGCTTAAACAATTACTCACAAATAGATTCTCTGATGTTGGAACCTGTTCTGTGGTGTGGAACTGTAACTGGTACGGGTATATGGCTACAATTTTGGGCAACAAGATAGAGCCTTTCACCACCTGCAGATACATTACATTCCCCAGGCAGTGGACAAGGGATTTGCTTCCCCTGAAAAAGTGGGGATGCTGCAAAATTTTCAGCAACCCCATTTAGCAGTTGAAACTATCCTGATCAACAATCAGACCATGAGCTGATCAAGATATGTTCAGCTTGCATCATGTAACCTGAACTGATTCCCCAGCATTTTCCTATATCCTAGCCTTGTAGTGTTGGCTGAACACAGGAATGTTTCAGGAGGAATCAGATACCGACTCACAGCTGATTGGGGCTTCTGATCACACACTCCTCACCACCCTAGAACAATTACTACATGGTGAAGTTGGAGATCAGAAGTAATCCAAAAGGAAGAGGAAAGGGATGATTTCTCTTTTCCTGGAGAAGAGGGAACAGAAGTAATGCTTCTGATTTCCCCATGGCAAAAGGGAGAGGAGAAAGAGATTGTTTCCTTTTCTCCGCAGTCCAGGCCAAGAGCTTGGGGTGGGGAAAAGTTATCTGTCCCCCCTTCTCTCCAACTGAGAGTTTGGACTAGGGAGAAGAGGTATTAGTGGGGCTTTTGATTAACCCTCCACCACATTTACTGCATCTCAGAAACTCTGGGACACAACAAAATTGTCAGGATGGGTGATTAGAAACATTGTCAGCTGATCTCTCAGAAGCTGAGGGTCAGCTTCAGATGGCGTCCAATAGCTTGTTCCTGGTTGCAATAGCTGAACAGCTCAGCAATTTATTGGGTTCATGATCACCACTGCCAAACAAGGTGTGAGCCAAACTGACAGGCGTGCAAGCATCCCTATGTACAGGAAGCTGGAAGCACAACACTAATATAAGTGATTCATATAAGTGATATATTGCTAAGTAATCAAATGAGAAAAAGCAGGTGCAAAAGCACCCTTAGTTGTTGTAGAGAAGCCAATCATTTTGCTTCATGGTTAACAGATTCATAAAGAAATGTAAGAGCTCCATGGGCCCATCTAGCCCAGCACCCCATATTCAACAGGTTAACCACATGCTTTTTCAAAACTCACACAAGGCATGAATGCAACCGGTATTCAGAGAAATGCACCACCTCAGAATGAGGAGGTTTCATTTAACTACCACAATCATTTCCCCCAACATTTGATCATTAACATTGTTTTGAACTGTTTTATCTGCTGTATTCATTTTGATTGCTAATTTATGTTACCTTAAACATAGAATAAAACAAGACATAAATGTCCAAATAAACATGCAAATAATGTATTGCTAACAAACACAACCCACCCCCAGCCAATGTGATTACTCAAGTCATATCATGTGCTCCTACACAGCTGATCTTATGTCTAAAGAAAGCAAGCTCTGACAACTACCATAGGCATCTGCTTGACAATAAACTTATGGGCTAGAAGGATCCAAGGGAAGTACTTGCAGTGAAAGCTTCCATGTTTGGTACTTAAGTCTGCAATGCATTCTATATGCAACTGAGATGTGTGGTCACTGTCTCAACAGCCCAACTGCATACAGGTTTATTCAGAAACAAATGTCACGCTGCGGGGGTGGGGGGGGGAGTGTGTAAATTTTAAAACGTACTCCAAAATGTTGAGCTCCAGTCAGACTTTCTGAATACAGGCTTTTAACTGCACTCATTGACCGGAACTCCCCTCGTTTTTTTCTTTAATTCAGTGAAACAATCAATGCCACACTAGCTTCCGCACCGCAGCACTCATAGCTGTCAAGTAATAGGAGAGCACAGCAGGCGTTGTGAGCGCTACTTACAGCTCTGGTCTCGTACAGCACCAACTTCTGCACAGAGCTGATGATTGGAGCCGTAGCGGGCATGGCGGGGGAAGAGGGAGGGGCTTTCCTTCAATCGGCTGCGAACCCCCAGGCCTGCTGGGGCGTCACTTCTCTCCCCTTTTGAGGAAGGCTCTGACTTCAAGAACACTACCGTCACCACGGAGAATGGGCGACAGTGAAGACCACAGGGCCGCTTCTCCAGCATAGACTGTACGCAGTCGCAAAAGAATGACAAAGGAAGAAGCGCGCATGATCACATGACAACGTTTGCGGCTGTGGCAGCCATTTTAGGTTAGGGATGACCGCTCGTTGTCACGGGGAGGAGCATAGAGTAAAAGTATTACACATGAAGTCCGATTGCGCCTAATGATAGCGTGGGATTCTATAGTGTGTGAACTGCAGCCACCAGTAAAGTGCTGGACAATCGGAGGCACCCTTCCTTCAGGATTAAGCCCCGTTGAACGCAACTACTTCTGGATCAAAATGTTTGGGATCGGGCGCACAACGGCGTGCAGCCTCATCCTATGCACTTGACAATGAGCGCCACGGAAGCCAACACCACTTAATCCTCATGAAGAGTGAATGGAAGCATCTCCAAATCAGTTATATTTTATTTCAGAATTCTGCATAAACCGCCTTAGGGTTCTTTCGAGAGCGAGAAATGGGGTACAAATGAATGCATCCCGCCAACTTGAAGGGGATTCTTCCCTTTGGCTCCCCACCCTACTTGAGGGGTTCCGAGAATTCCGACGCTTCTGAAACAGCACGCACCTCACGAGTGCTTGAGCAGGCGTTAACAGTCGAACCAGCGTGGGTTAACGTCGCAGTTATCCAGTAGTTAAACTGCCAACAATTCTGTTTTCAAACATCACGCTCGCGAAGCGGCCCAACTTCAGCTCCGTTGATTGGGTTAAACGAGCGGGGAGGTTCTAAGAGAGAGGCGGAGCGGGTGACGGTTTCCAAGGTTACGTGGGAAACACAAATCTCTGCGGAACTGTGGCGCCTCATTACACTCGCGGACCGCTCAGCTCACGGTAAGTGCTTTCTGGATGGCTCACTATCCTTCCATCCTCCACTTGCGTACTCAAGATTACTTAGTGCAGATTATCTCTAGAAGGTTAGCGGTGTTCGCGGGATGTCGTGAAAGTTTTTGCTGGAGTAATTTGTGTGATGTCAACAGACCGTTTACTAATGCGGATTAATAACCGTTTAAGAAAACTGTTTTTGGAAAGGAAAGTCTAGCTATGCCCTGGAAACTGACCAGTGGCTTTTTTGATACAGCAATATAATTTTTTAAGGTTCAAAATGCCTACATACCTGTAAATCAAGCACACTTATGAAGTACTGATTAATAATAATCTTTTCATTTGTAATGTAGGTGTAATAATGGCATCTCCTCAAGAAGAGCAGTCTTATCCCTTTGTAGATATATATGATGAAGATGAAGCTGACAAAGCGTTTCTTATGTCTAAGCCTACCTGCTTCCTCATCCTTGGAAAACCAGTAAGACAGAATTTTCAGTTTGCTTAAACTTGGACATCTCATTCCGATTTGATGTTTGAATCTTCCCGGTATCTCAGGTTCTCATCAGTAACTTTTGTCTTGCAATCACCTAATGATTATCTTCTAGTGCTATTAGCTTTAACAGATTTAAAATTTGGTTTGCGTGTTACGTGCCATCACGTTGCTTCTGAGTTAAGGCAACCCTATGACTATGAATTAATGACCTCCCCAAAATCCTATCATTAACAGCCTTGATCAGGTTTTGCAAACTGAAGGCTGTGGCTTTTATTGAGTCAATCCATCTTCTGTTGAGTCTTCCTCTTTCCCCACTGCCTTCAACTTTTCCTACCATTATTGTCTTTTCCAGTGGGTCTTGTCTTCTCCAAAGTATGAAAGCCTCACTTCGGTCCTTTTAGCTTCTAGGGAAAACTCAGGCTTGTGTTAATCTAGAACCCACTTATTAGTCTTTTTGGCAGTCCATGGTATTTGTAAATCTCTCCTCTAACACCACATTTCAAATGAATGAATTGCTCTCAGCTTTCTTCATTGTCTAGCTTTCAGATCCATGCATCTTGACCTTGGTGTCTGGTGACACTTTCTTATACTTGAGGATTTTTTCTTTTTAGAATTTTTAATTGCTTTTCACTATAAACTACAAACTACAAATTCAGAGTAGCAAGGTACATTGATAACCTATCTTGCGCTTTGGATGCTTCCTTACAAATTTATGTTTACAATATATCATTTAATTTCTAAGTAATAAGTATTCAAATAGAAAGTACAAAAATTTCTTGGTTATTGTATCGCATATGGACAATAATATAAATTATTTAAATTTTATCATAGAAAAATCTTAGATCTTCATTTGGATATCTTCTTGTCTTTGCGCTTTTTCTTCTTTTGCCAGGGGATTTTAACCTTATAAGATCTGGGGGCAGCAGCTCCCGGGTCAGAATCACAGTCAAAGATTTCACCCAGGGACACCGAAGTAGAAGAGGAGCTGTCAGTGGCTGACGCCTGATGTTCGCTATTATTTTCTGTCGCCTTCTCTTCCTCTGCTTCCTTTCTTTGTTTTGTCGGAGTTTGATGCTGCTTCAGGAATAATTCTGCTTTAGAGAGAGAGTCAATCTTTTCCTTCTTCTCTTTATAGTTGAATATAAGACCTTCTGGTAAAATCCATCGGTATTGGAAGAAATGTTGTAATGTTTCTGTATTGCTTCCTCTTCTTATGTGCTTAAGGATTTTTTCTAGTTCCCTCATGGCTGCTGTTCTGAGTCTCAGTCTCCTTCTTTTTTTTTAATATGTTTATTGGATTTTTATCCATAATAACAGACACCACTCACCACCCCAGCACAAAAACCAGAATAGACATAAAGGTAAAGGTTCCCTTGCTCGAAAGCCAGTCGAGTCCAACTCTAGGGTTGCGGTGCTCCTCTCCGTTTCAAAGCCAAAGAGCCAGCGCTGTCCAAAGATGTTTCCATGGTCATGTGGCCAGCATGACTGAACACCAAGGCGCACGGAATGCTGTTACCTTCCCATCAAAGTGGTACCTATTTATCTACTTGCAATTTCTTGCTTTCGAACTGCTAGGTTGGCAGGAGCTAGAACTAGAGACGGGAGCCCACTCCATCATGCGGCAACTTGGGTCTCGAACTGCTGAACTACTGACCTTCCACAGCCTGCAGTTCAGCGTCTTAACCACTTGAGCCACCGCAGCTCCTCAAACAGACATACACAGACACTATAACTATTTCCTCAACACATCACAGTGATTATCCAGCTTGGTTATAAATTGGTAAAAATAAAATATGTATTCCCACTATTTCAATACTAACCAACTAAAATTTCACATTACGTAGCTCAAGTTCCTCCTAGATTCATTTATCCGAGTAGTTATAAACTTCCATATATATTTTACTACTACTACTCAGTCTTCTTATTCATAAGACAATATAATTAGTTCAGAAATCACCGACTAGTTTTCTATTTAGTTCACTTATAGGTCAACGAATAAAGTTCATTCTAATTTTAAAGGGGGGTTATACATTCAATTAAAATATTCAAATATCAATCACCTACAATATTTAACTTATTCATTATAACAAAACAAGTAGAATACATATCCTTAAACAGTACAAATCCCACTAATACTTGTATTATTTTACTACTAAAGATTACCTAGCAATGAATCCCCATCTCAATTAATTTGCCAATAATAAAAAGTGTAAACAAAATTTAACATATATGAAATTATATTTTCACAACCATCCACTTCTTTCTTACAGATATAAATATTACCTAAATCCAGGGGTCGGTTGGGGCGGGGGAACGCCGTTCCCCCGGGTGAGGTGCGGGGGGCGGGGCCTGGAGCTCCCTGCTGTCGTCCGCTGGAGGTTGCTGGCTGTGGGGATGAGGCGGGGTGCACTCCGTCGATGCGGACCAGCAAGCAGTTTTCCCAGCCACTTCCCCCAAAGCCCCCAGCAGCCTGAACGCGGAGCTGCTGGGCCTGAGCGCCCAGGAGAAGAAGGAGCTGGGCCTGTGGGGACGAGGCGGGGGGCGCTCCGTCGGGGGGGGACCAGCAAGCAGTTTTCCAAGCCACCTCCCCCAAAGCCCCCAGCAGCCTGAACGCGGAGCTGCTGGGCCTGCATGCCCAGGAGAAGAAGGAGCTGGGCGCGCTGAACGACCCCTTCGCCTGCTACGTGGAGCGGGTGCAGGCGCTGGAGCACCGCAACTGGCTGCTGCTGCTGGAGGTGCTGCGCCGCCAGGAGCGTGCTCCACCGTGCCGGCCCCAGCTCTGCCAGCAAGAGGTGCGAGGCCTGTGGGCGCTGCTGGAGGCCGAGAGGGTGAGCAGGCGCGCCTGGAGGCCGAGCGCGACCGCCTGCGCCAGACCTGCGGCCAGCTACGCAAGTGCTATGCCCAGGAGGCGCGCCAGCGCCTCGACGGCAAGGAGATATTGCGCCGCATCTGCCAGGAGGCCGCTCAGGCCGCGCTAGCTGCCTGCGACGCCGAAGGGGCGGTCGTCCATCTCCCTGGCCGTTGAGCTGGCCTTCCTGCACTGCCTGCTAGCCGAGGAGCACACCGAACTGGCTGCCCAAGTCGACGCACTGCTCCAAGTTTGCCTTGGTGGCCCAGCTGGCCGGCCGCAAGCAGGAGACCGACCGCGCCATCCGCCAGGAGACCGGTAAATACAGGCGCCAGCTGCAGGCCCTCTCAGCCGAGATCGAGGCCCTCCGCGGCGCCGTTGACGCGCTGCACCAGCAGCTAGAGAGCCTCGACGGGGAGCAGAGCGCCCAGGTGGCCCGCTGCCACGTAAGGGAGCGCAGGGTTGGGCGGGGAGGCGGAGACTGATAGGGGAGAGCAGGCTGTTTCCCCGCAGGACGGACGGGCCCTCGGGGCAACCACGGGAACAGCCTCGACGGCAAGGAGATGTTGTGCCGCGTCTGCCAGGAGGCCGCTAGCTGCCTGCAACGCCGAAGGGGCGGCCGTCCGTCTCCCTGGCCGCCGAGCTGGCCTTCCTGCACTGCCTGCTGGCCGAGGAGCACACCGAGCTGGCAGCCCAAGTCGACGCACTGCTCCAAGTTTGCCTTGGTTAGGTAACTATGCTGGTTTTAATGCAACTGCAGTTACGATTTTTAAAGTCTACTGTATTGTGCTTTGTTTTTCTGAAATATTTTATTATTATATGACTAATCAATAACTTACCAAACTTTGTGATACATATGTCACTATACATTCTCTTAGCATCAATAAAGCTATTCCGAGAAGCCATTTTTCAAATCAGTATTTCCTGGTATCTGGGAGAACCGGGTTTGATTCCCCACTCCTCCAGTTGCAGCTGCTGGATGACCTTGGGCAAGCAGTAGTTCTGACAAAAACTGTCCTTGAAAGGACAGTTCTCGAAAGAGCTCTCTCAGCCCCACCTACCTCACAGGGGGTCTGTTGTGGGGAGGGGAAGGGAAAGGAGTTTGTAAGTCGCTCTGAGACTCCCGAGTGAAGGGCGGGGCATAAATCCAATTTCTTCTTCTTCTTTTTCTTCTTCTTCTTCTTAAGCCACCCTCAGATACTGATGCATGGAGATGCAGACTGGATGTGATTTTAGAACAACTATTCTAGTAGGCACTACTGATCCTTTTTATTTATTATTATTATTATATTTATTATATTATATTTCTATTATATCATTATATTTACTATATTATTATTACGAACAACTGATAACCATATTGGATGTTTGTGAAGCCAACTGGGGAAGTTTGGTAGCTCCATCATAGGTAAGACAGACTTGGCTAGCCACAAACCAGATGTTGGGGGGGGCAACTAACAATGCAGCCCCTCCTTAAAAAAAAAAATCCTATCCACCAGCTAGCACATGTTTTGGAGGCAGTTTAGAGAAGGAATGGCGAACGACCTTGCTCCATTCCTTCCAAATACTATGAATTATGACATATTTTCACCGGTTGAACTCCAGCCAGCCAGGCAAGCCGGCTCCGTCGCGCTCGCTCCCGCCCGCCCGTCAGCAGCTCCTCCTCAGCCCCTCTGCCACGCCTTCTGCCATTGGGTGGCTGCGCCCGTGCTCGCTAGGTGGTGCTGGGCGCTGGAGGGCCGGCGGGTTGGACTTGGAGCGCCTCCTCGTCCCGGGCCGCACTTTGCAGTGAGGCGGCGGAGTTCGGGGAACCGCAGTGACCACCATGAGTCGGGGAGTCCCACCGCCGGTTTTTCTGGGACCCGAGGCAGTGGAGGAGCATTTTCCCCTCCGCCAGCCTGCTCGTCCCCGCCTTGGAAGCCGCCTTGGCGGACTTCTCCAGAGGCCCCGAGGGAGGCGTTGTGCAGCCGGTGTTCACCGTGGTCCCCATCCAGAAGTACAGCAAGTGAGAGCCGGGGTGGGGGCGGCGAGGAAAGGGTGGGCAGCCTCGTCCCGAGGGGTTTTTTTTTAATGCGGCTGGGCAGGGTTGCCAACTTCTTCCACTGGCCTCGGCTCCTGTGCATTTTTAAAGAAAATCTGCAGAGATTTTCTTGCTGACTTCTGACCTGGTGCAACCACGCTCCCCAAAATAAAGACTAGACAGATTTTGTTAGTTGGCACACCTGTTTTTTGGAGGGCTCCTCCTCCTCCTCTCTCTCCGCTTCCCTACGTATTATTATTTTTTGGGAAGGCTCCTGTGCCTTGGAAGGTCATGACTGACCGGCAGGAATTCAGGAGAGCCGTTTCTTCACATCTCACCGCTTGGGTTCCTGCAGCTGTTAAAGGAGCAGGCACCTTGCTAGGAAAAGCTGTTGGTGGTTTCTCCATACTCCACTCATGGGTTACCCTTTGCTGATAAGAACTGGGGCATATCTGTTTAGTGGTTCACAGCTCTTTTTTTAAAGGTTTCATAGAGGGGGTGTGGCCTTATGACACACTTCCGGTGATGTCAGGGGGTGTGGCATATGCTAATGAGTTATGCTAATGAGTTCCCCTAGCTCTTTTTCTACGAAATGACCCCTGCCTAAATCTCAATATCGAACTCAGGTTTGCCCATAAAAGCTATATCATTTTAACTTCTCTTTCTCCATACCATATAACCACCTACAAAGGAAAAGGAGTAGAAAAGAGGAAGAAAATTATTAAGAAGAAAGGAGTGAGGAAGGAAAGAGAGAGAGAAAAAACCCAAACCCCCCCCCCCCCAATATTTTTAGAGTATCAAGCAGTGGAGAAACTTATTGGCATCCAACTAATGAAAAGCATCCCATTACAATAACACCATATTTCATTTCCTTTTTACATCAGCCATTTATATCAAACAAGCAAATTACATTAGGCATAACTTTTTGTATCTTTTTCTTCCCCCATCCCTCCATAGCCTCTTTCCTCTTTTCATTCTATTCTAGATGTCTTGAATCCTTGTATTCCTGTGGTTCCAATTCCAAATTGATTTTTCCATATTCCCTTAAGTCAAGCTTTAGTCTTTTGAAAACCTTATGCTTCTTTATTCCTTCCTTTAATTTTTTCCCCCCTGTTGGCTTCTTCTTTTTTCCCCGAGAAGGATTTACCAGAGGTTTTTTTATCACTCCTTGGTTCCAGCTTTTTTTGTTCCTCCAAAGAGCTGTTACAAACTTTTATATCCTGGTCTTTCTCTTCATTAAGATCCAGCGACTCCATTTCTTCATTCCAACATTTCAACATATATAAACTTTAAATAAACACGTTCATAGGTATTTCCATGGTCTTTGCTTTTTAACGTTCTTTTAATATGCTGTGCACCCAGCTCTTGAGAAACAACAATTCTTTCAGCAGAAATAGTAATAGTAACTGTCTCTTACCCCCATCCAGCTTCGTCACTCTCTGTTCCCAAATATATTTTGCGGCCGTTGTTTTTTTCTTCAAAAGGGGTAATATCCACGGGGGTTATAATAATCAGTCCTTCTTAGTTTCAACTTAAGTCTGCATAGAATAAGCTCTTCACTGTGATGTGTCGAATATAATTCAAAAGTAGAAATTTTTAAACGGCTGGTCGCTGTTACGCAGGAACATGGCAACCATGTCCCTGCTCTTCAAATGCTCCCGCTTCGAGGCGAAGTCTGTCTCACCCCCATCTTTGCTAGAGACAGGGGGGACTGGAAAAAGCCTCCTGCCACTTGGTCTCCCTCTGAGAAACCAAGCGGAGCCCATCCAAAACCCGGGAGGGCTCCAAAAAGAACGTAAGAAAATCGGGCGGCCTGGGAGCTCCCGGGAGCCGCCCATCACAGCGCTGAACCGGAACCAAGTCTCCTGATTTCTTGGCTGCACTCTCCCTTTTGGTTGATGAATGAGCCAAAGAATAGAAAATCTTTACAATTTCAGGTTGTTCATTGTCAACTTTAAAACTGTATAATTCCTCAATAGTCATTAATTTTTTCTTCTTGATGCTTAGCTGTAATCCTGTTGTGACACTTTCTTTTTCAACCTTCATCAGCAGTCATTTCAAGTCTGCCAGTAATAAATTATCTGCATATCTCAAACCGTTAACATTCCTTCCACCAAATTTCACTCCACCTTCATCTAAATCTAATCCAGTTACCCTTATGATATGTTCTGCATATAGAGCAAATAGAAATGGAGGTAAAATACATCCTTGTCTGGTACCTTTGCCAGTTGGAAACCATGCTGATTCTCCATATTCTAACAGCAGCCTCTTGGCCAGAGTACAGATTGTGCATCAAAACAGTCAGATGCTGTGACACACCCATTTCTTTTAAAACCATCCATAGCTTTTCATGATCCACACAGTTGAAAGCTTTGCTGTAATCTATAAGGCACAAACCTAAAGTTTAATAACCCACAATTAAAAGATGGGAGCTTACAAAAGACAGAACAGATATGCCAGCTGTTTCCTTTGTACAATAAAATTGATTTTTAAAAAGATAACTTTTTATTTATTCTTGCACCCATTTCCATTTCTATTCTTGCACCCATTTCCATTGCCAAACATACAAACAGCAACTATAAAATGCATTCTTGCACCTAAAGGTAGCAGGTAGTTTACATCACTCTGTAGAAAAAGTTGGAAGGGACCTCTGCATGATGTCTTCTCAACACCATTACTGTAAAATATGGTGTGATACATGATGTTATTCTTTGTCATTTGGAGGGCTTTGGTGAGAGATAGACTGCAATAGTGCAGGAACTTGTCATACCTGGAGGAAGAAAGGCATGCTATATTGTATGCTGTGGTGGTGGCAGTGAGGACAAGCTGTTACATGGAGGCCAATTCCACATGCCTCCATTGACCCTTATTTCCAGATAGTCTTACTTGAAAGTGTCTCCTTGATTTCAGAACAATTGACTTTCAAATAAGTGTTTTTTTGTTCCCAGCCATCCATCTTGATCTCGAGCATGTTATACTTAGACAGTTTTTTTGATTTCTGTAGTATCAGGTTATTATATATTCTCGTATTTTGAACCCTTGAGAATCTTCTTTACTAATAACTGGGTGACATTTCTTAGAAATAATGTGATGATGGCATTGTAGAACTTTGTGTTTGTCTGTGTCTCAATGCTAAACATAGGTGTGATCCAGCAAGCCCAGCAAGGTACACATTGACAGGTGGAGGTTTTTTTCACTGTAGGCTGCTGCTGAAATCTTGTGAGTTTCAAAAGAAGCTTGCAGAATGGAGTACAGGGCTGCTTTGCTGAAGTAAATCCAAAAGCTGAGCTGCAGTGCACATCTAGAGAACAGTGGGATGAGGAAAACTAAGGTGCATACAGACATACATAAAATAGATACTAGCATAGTGTTTTCCCCAGTTTTTTTATTGATCCCATTTTCTCTGTTATTCTCCAAATAACAAAACCTGTTGCCATAGCAAATGCTGTATTCTTGTTTGTTGGCCTTTCTTTTATTCGTCTAAAAAGTGTCTTCCTTTTATTTGTCTAAAAAGTGCTGTATGTGTAATTGTGAATTGAAATAATCATACAATGTCTGTTCCAGGATGTTACTTATGCCCAGTCAATGAGTACTACAGCATCCACTGGCAACATTTGTTTCCTTTGAGCTTGATCCTCAATAGACAGCTGAAGACCTGGAACAACAATGTGGAAACTGCCAGTTTCCAGTGTGGAGTGCCTTCTGTGATGATGTGCATTTTGCTTAGACAACAGGGTGACCATCACTAGCAGGGAAAAATTGCTTCAGTTTTTTCTTTTCTTTCCAGGATGAATATGACAGAGAAGAAAAAATCGGATTACTTTTGTTATTTTGGCTTCTAGGGTTAGCAAGTTTAAAAGCATCCAACTTTCTTCTGCTTTGAAAGTCACCAAGGACAATCCAGGCACAATTCAGTTTATCATAAAATATGGAAAATATATTGTGTAATATACTAAGATAAAAATGCATGATTACTGACTTCATGGAATCTAGCCTAAATAAATTTTCTAAGTGCCATTACACTTAAGTTCAGTACGTCAATCTGTGTGTTTGCAACCAAGATTTGTTATTCTTGATGTATGGAAAAATCATTGCAGTTTAAACTGTGGGTTTTTTTCCGTTTTAAGGGAATTGGGAAGAAAACGCTAGCTACAAAAATAGCACAGATTTGGAAATGCACACTCATAGATGGTAACTATTATGCTCATTTGTTATCATTTTATGCTATGCCTTTTTATATGCTTACTAAAATTCCAGTGGTGTCTGTTGAAGTCTAAAAACACACCTACAGAAGCAGAATCAAAGCTATTGTACTGGAGAAGTACATGTTTTATTTGTCAGTCATAAGCATTTGTGGATAATGTCACTATCATAACCATCATGTGACCATAATGTCATGACAAGATGCACACTTTTGAAATAAAGACTTTGATAAAGTTTCAATATTTCCTATGTCACATGATTGCTTACATGCCCTTTACAACAATAACCAAAGAAAGTGCATTTTACTCCTTACATAAAATGCCTTGCCAAGTAAAGATTTGTTGAATAGACAAAAACTCCTCCTTGAATGTAGCAAAGGTCCCACCAGTATACTTATCTCTCCCTTATAATAAAGCAGTAGTGAGGACCAACGTTCTAAAATGCCCGCTGTGGCGATTTCATGTTTATCTCTGTGTGTGTGGCTTTAAAAGTTTGGTTTGCATGGCTGTGTGATGATAATCTAGAATGCTGGACTCAGACAAGTGATATGATTGGTGAGTGACAGAGATGGGGAGGGGTTTTGGAATGGATGCTGTGTGGATGATTTGAATGTCTATCAGGAGTGACAGAGTTTAGACAGTTAGGCAGACAGTTGATGTTCAGTTAAGCAGTTGGAGTTCTGATTTCTGTGAGAGAAGCAGAAAGTCAGTTAAGTTCTGTCTCTGAGTGGAAGGAGACATCCCTGTGTGGGAAGGATTTGGTTCTGTGTGTGAAAAGAGTGACATTTAGTTCTGTGTTATAGGAGTTACAATTAAAAGCTGAGAGTCTAGGAAAAAGTACAGTGAAAAGTGTTACAAAGTTGCTTGAAACCTCCCTGTCAGAAAAGGAGAAGCTTGTGAAAGACACCAAGCATTTGTTCAAATCATTCCCAGTACTGTTTACATTGTTTACCTTTGTATTTATGCTTTAAATAAATCCTATTTCCTTCAAGTATACCAGCTCAGTAAAGATTCCTTCCTCAGACCACATAGACCTTCATGAAAGCCCAGACCCTCGGTATACCTACCCAGTGAGAAATATTATAGAAAAAGGTTTGGAACTCCAACATAGACATAACAGGCTGCAATCTGATTTTATCTGGTGAAAATACAAAGGAAATAGAAGCTTGTTAAATGTGTTTGCCAAACTATAAGGGTCATTAATCATAGTAGTTATTTTTTTTCATCGTAGGAAGAAATGTGGAAATATTTTTGAATGACCATATTAGCATCTGAGTTTTTCAAGTATATGTGACAGTCAAATCAATGGATGTGACGACCCCTTAACTGGGGAGGTCTGGTTTCCCTTTAAAAGTGTTCTTTATGTTTTTCTCTACTGGGTAATCCGGCTGCCACCAGGAAATTTATAAGGCTTTCCAAACCTTTATAATATAATATCTATCACTGGGTAGGTAAGTCGAGGGTTTAGGCATTCACGAGGGACTATGTGTTTCCTGGGAAGAATTTCTTTCAGAGCTGGTATCTTAAATAAAAGTAGATTTATTGATATTTCACACACTTTTCTCCCCACTGTCAGGGATCTGGGCATGTAACTTTGTAACACTTTTTTAAGTCCATATAATCTTTACTGTTTCCTAGGCACTCAGCTTCAGCTTATAATTGTTTCAACACAGAACTGCTTGTCACTTTCTTTCAGACACAGCACTTAAGTCTCATATCACACACAAGAAGGTCTCTCCTTCAGACCCCAGAACTAAACTCATCCCACACAGGGATGCTTCACTCTTCTCATACACAGAACTTCTGCTTCTGTGCTTCTCTCACAGAAATCAGAACTTAACTTCTTAACTGAACATCAACTGTCATATCTCTAACTGACACTCTTGACTGACATATCTGCTCATCCACACAGAATCAGTTCCAAAACCCCTCCCCCTCTCTGTTACTCACCAATCACAACACTTGCTTGTTTCCACTACTCTAGACTATCATACAGCCATGCATCCAAACTTTTAAAGACACACACACAGATTTAAACATGAAATCGTTACAATGGGTATTCCAATAGGATGGCAAATTCTGCATATATTTAGAATTCTGGTCTGGTATTGCTCTGCATTGCTGAACAGATCAGGGAGGCATTGGGAGGAGGATGCCATTGTTGCAGCATCTCTTGCTGCTGAGAAGTGATTAAGGGAGACATGCATTCTCATGGGGTGTAACTAGTTAATTCAACATCACCTCAACAGAGGCAGGACCAAGGACTGCATTAGGCATTGACATGTTTGTATACCTACCAAACCCACCCAGATATGCTGTGTTACCTCCCATTGGCCAATAGGAGAAATGCCTAGAAGCTGTGGAAAAAACAGAGGGCAATAGAATCACATTCTTCTGTTTCCTCCAAGCATCTCTCCCAAATAACCAAGAGGCTGCTGCAGTATTTATTTCTTTTTATTATTCTTTTTGCTCCTTTTAGACCTGCTGATACCAATGGGGATAAAAGAAGTCATAAAAGGTAAAGGTAAAGGTCCCCTTGCTCGAAAGCCAGTCGAATCCGACTCTAGGGTTGCGGTGCTCATCTCCGTTTCAAAGCCGAAGACCCACCGCTGTCTGAAGACGTTTCCGTGGTCATGTGACCGGCATGACTAAACACCAAGGCGCACGGAACACTGTTACCTTCCCACCGAAGTGGTCCCTATTTCTCTACTTGCAATTTCTTGCTTTCGAACTGCTAGGTTGGCAGGAGCTGGAACTAGAGACAGGAGCTCACCCCGTCTTGCGGCACCCAGGTCTCGAACTGCTGAACTACTGACCTTCCACAGATGCAGTTCTGCGTCTTAACCACTTGAGCCACCGCAGCTCCAAAAGAAGTCATACTTCACCACATAATCATTATTGGGCTGGAAAAGGATCCATCATAGGTGATGGTGATGATGGGAGAGAAAGCAACCACTATTGGGTGGGAAATGTGTCTTTGATGTGGGGCAGGGAAGAGAAGAGAGTTGCAATACACACAAAACATGTTGTGCTGCAGAGTCCATGGAAGCCAGCAGCTAACCTTGGGCAGAGCATAATTGCCCAGGGGGTCTCATGCTTTGGGGATAGTTAATTTACTTAGGTCTTCAGATGGGAACAAAGAATTTGCTCACCCACTTAGGCCTTACTTGGTATCAGCAGGATTCTGAGTAGAAGGCTGATACTATGAGGAAGCATGGCAAATTAACCAGTTTGTTTCCTAAAGAGTTATTCTGCCCCTCCTTTTTATGATGATTTCTGGATGATTACATGCATTTGCAAGACTGGGATCTTTGTGCTTTTTGATTGCAATTTTTTTTTCATTCAGTCTAAGAGAAGTAACTTAAACAGTTTTGATATTAACAGTTGTCTCTGCAAACCTTGGTATGCTTGTATCTGTATTTTTTTAGAAAAAACATGGGAGCCCTCTGGTGGCTAAAACAGTATTTCCATTTTTGTGAAAATTAAATACTTAATAGGATTGTTTTAGATCAGTTTGATCACATTTGGACTCAGGTAAAGTTACAGTGTTAAACTACATTAATGTCTTTCTGTTAATTCAGATCTGGATTAGTGCATTCTGTTTTAGCGAAGAACACTAATATCTAGGCTAAAATACGTGCGGTCTCTCAGAAAGCTGTTTTATTAGTTATTTATTCATTGTATTGTATTTAATATTTTTATAGTCTGCTATTCTACTTAACTGTTAAGGTTGGGTAAAACCCTGTTAATTGACCAACGAGTTGCCCTGAACAGTTCCTAAGTTGCCTAACCGTGGAAGGGCAGTTCCACTCCTGCAAAAGGAGAGGGATCATTATTACCAGTTCTTCCTTCCAGTGCTCCTTGTAAGCTGAGTTAGTGTGAGCTAGCTCACAGTTTTTTAGCCTCCGGCTCACACATTTTTGTCTTAGCTTAGGAAGGATGGCTCCAGAGCAAACTAATTTATGTAGTAGCCAAATCTCTCGCTCACAACTTTAATGCCAGTAGCTCACAAAATAGAATTTTTGCTCCCAAGACTCCACAGCGTAGAGGGAACATTGCTTCCTTTCCTGTGTAGCATCCTTCACTGTTCCTGAGTTTTCCAAGCCTCAAATGTGGCTTCTGGGGAGTACGCAGGGCTGCAGCAGCAGGAAGGAAGAGGGAATGCTGTGTTTCACAAGCAGAGCATTGCTTGTTTATTAGCTAACAATAGTGAGGAAGACAGGGCCACACCAGCAGTACAGCAGAAGAGAAGAAATCAAGATGTTGAGTAAATCATTTATTATCACTTCTTGACCCCAACACGTTTCGCCTATGGCGTTGTCAGGGGCTCTATTTTAAACAGGAAAAATATACTCATAAAATAATAAAACATATATAATCAATACAAAATCATAAAACATATATAATGAATACAATACACTTTGAATAATTATTAAGAATTTTTTAAGAATAAAAATCTTAGGAATCTACAACCTGAAAAAGTTTTTTAGAAAAACAGGATATTGTTTTAAAGGATTATATAACAATTTAACCCAAGGAAACCAGTAGCAAAGATAATTAATTATTAAATATTAATAAATAATATGTAACTAAACAACTATCCTGCTTATATTATTGTACTAAGTATCAGTTCTTTATACAGCAGAGTGTAGAACACCCTAGAACTAAATCAGATGTTATAACTTTAAAGATCTTAAATAAGGTATATAAGTTCCAAACTTTCATTTAGCCTAGAAGGCAACAAGGATTTTAGCCTTAAAATCCACTCTGCCTCTTTCCTCAGAAGTGTATTGTCATTGTGGTCTGATACTTGTTGGATTGCCCCCAAAACAGAATCCATTGAAGTACAATTATTTTCCAAAAAATGTGCAACTTAAGGGACTCCAGTTTTCTTGAGTAAGATGTTACTTCTGTGTTCAGTAACACGTATTTAAAGTGTTTAAAGTTAAAGTTATAGCATCTTATAATTTAGTGGAAAAGGTTTATCGTTGAAAAAATAGAACTAATTTAGTTCTAGGATCTTCCACACTCTGCTGTATAAAGAACTGATACTTAGCACAATAATATATACACAATATTTTTGTGAATGCTTTTTTGAACTATGGTCCTTTAAGGGGTTAATGAACGCCTATTGCATCAGACTAGATAACCCCTTGAGCTTGATTCCACCTTTAATGCTCAAGGTGAGGCTGTAGGCTTATGCTACAATAGGTAAGCAGAATAGTTTTTAGTTATGTCGTAAATGAAATTCTCTCTTACCAATAAGTAATTTCTGGAGACAGACTTTCCTTCAGTGAAACAGATTTTATTTGGTTACAGCCTGCAGACCGAGTGTCTCCCATCGCCCAATGAGCACTGGGAGAACACACCTGAATGAGGTCTGGGACCTGATATTTATTCTGTCCCGGCGTGGTTTGGAAAATTAAAAAATGCCCTCTTCCGGCCACCAGAGCTGGTGACAAGAAGTTACATAATAATTCCCGGTCGCCTAATTACTTCACTTCTGCTTTTTATTAAGACAAAAAGCCCCTACTTTCCCAAAAAGGGCATAATTACTCCCCACAAAGTTCAATCTTGAGTCACTCGGGTCGAGCCCCCCCTGGTCCGTTGGGTCAACAGGAATTTCAAACCACGAGATGTTCTCTCCCTTCGAGTATGTGTTCATTACTTTTCACAATCATCTTAAGCTGCCCAGCCTACTTCTCTATTTTTCTCCAGCCTGGGTTAGCAAGAACAAACAAGTCAAAGCAGTATAAATATATATATGGGTATATGTGCTAGTTATTAAATACATTGTTCAAGCATATTGATTTCTTTGCTAGGTAAAATCTTCAGGTACTTTTCCCAGTGTCACATTAAAGCTATGGCAAGCCCTTGTTGTGTTTTGCCAATTGCTAGCTAACAGTTGAACTTTTTCCTCTCTTAGCTGGCCCTAGAGTTTAGTTCCTATTTTCTAGCCTTATTCCATAACCCACTCTCAACGCCCACCACAAGTATCTTGAGACACAGATATTCTTGTAAAGAATGGACTTGTCTTCTCGTAAATCTGGACTTTCAGACCGCAAGATGTCCCATTTCATCAGGCCTGTCTTGGGCCATCATCTCTGCAACAGACTTGTTTATAAGAGTCTAAAATGCCAGGTTCCTCATTTTAGGCCGGTTAGCATATACACTAAGAATATATAAAAATATGCAAGATTAAACATTGCAAAGCTTCTGCCTATCTTTATGTTTCAACTGCCCAACTGTTAATCATTCCACTGGATAGCCAGGTATCTTAGGTGCTTTTCTTGTCACCCAGATTGCTGATTGTAGCCAGGTTCTTTGAGACTGCTACATTGACAGAGGTCCATCAGTAGCTATTAGCTACAATATATATATATGTGCTCTGGGGCAAGTGATGCTCCGTCTTCTTGGTGCTTGGGGGGGTTCAACAGTGGGAGGGCTTCTAATTGTCCTGGCCCCACTGGTGGACCTCCAGATGGCACCTGGTATTTCTGGCCACTGTGTGATACAGAATGTTGGGCTGGATGGGCCTTTGGCCTGATCCAACATTGGCATCTCTTAGGTTCTTATGACAGTTGTCTAGGCCACACTTCGGCTTTCTAATTAAGCCAGCTTCAGCATCCATTCTCAAGCAATACACTCTTAATTTCAATACACAGCAAAACGTCCCTTTATCTGAAGGCACTTTTAATCTATGTGAAATATTCCTGCCGCATGCTACTTCTGCTTTCTGCTGAAGGCAATCTTTTGCAACCGTCTTCCGCATCTACTAAGTGGAGATGTTTGTGCAAGCTAGTTCTTGCTAGTGTCTGACTTCCCCATTTCCAACTCCCCTTTAGCTCAGCTTCTTAGTTCTGCCTTAATCATTAATTGATTTCCAGCAATGCAATTTTTTTAAAGCAAGGTTCTTTTAAAATCGGAAGCCCCTTATATTATTGCATTTCTTACAGTTACATATTGTTTATTAATATTTAATAATTAATTATCTTTGCTGCTGGTTTCCTGGGGTTAAATTATTATAGAATCATTTAAAACAATACCCTATTTTTCTAGAAGAATTTGTCAGGTTGTAGGTTCCTAAGATTTTATTCTTAAAAAATTCTTAATAATGATTCAAAGTGTATTGTATTCATTATATATGTTTTATGATTTTTATGAGTGTATTTTCCTGTTTATAATAGATCCCCTAACAAAGCCATAGGCAAAACGCATCAGGACCAGGAATTAATAATAAAGGATTCAGTCAACACCTTGATTCTTCTCTTCTGCTGTTGCTGTTATCTACGCCAGTGTAATGCAAGGATACCAATAAACAAATGCTACAGGTGTACGAATATTTCTCAACTAAAACACTGTCCATAATTCCCTATTTAGTTTTGAACTGGAAATACCCAATCTGAAACTAAACAGGGAATTTAGGGCACAATTATAGTTCACAAATATTCATATGCCCACCCTTAATAGATGTACTCCAGTTTTGTAAATTTTTTCCATAGTTTTGTTTTTTTAATGCAAGTGTGGAATGTTCACATTTCTTCCCTACAGTGAGATGTGCAGTTTCTTTCTGCAACTCACTGCAGAAGAGCAATTGTAGATGACTAGTGTTTGGGCACAGAGTTATAACCTGAAGGCTAACATTATTCTTTGTTTCTATTTAGTCACTATTTAAAGTTGTAGAAACTGATTCTGTACATTTTAACTTGTACAGTTTAATTTACATGTACAACATAACATAACTACAAAACAGTTAAAATTTTCTTCTGTCTCATGTATTATTTTTAGTTTTTGAGCTTATAGATGAGAACGTATCAGCAAGAACAGAATATGGACTCAAGGTAAAGTCTAAAGTTAATTTGTTAGGTTTACTGGACTGACTGAGGATCCATTGCATCTATTTGATAAAGTGGGCTCTAGTCTAAAGCTTATGCGTCAATAAATGTGTCAAGTTAACTGTAAGGCTCCGTTTTGTTCTTTGCTGCAACAGGCTAAGATGGCTACCAGTGCCAACCTAAAAAGTAGGATTGCTAACTTCCAGGTGATCAGGGGTCTACTGGGTTCTGGCCAACAGGAGGAAGTGGACTGCTCTGCAGCCTGCTTTCATCATTTTGCTAAGTGCTTTGCAGATAAAATCTCTTGTATCTGGTCTAACTTGGAGTCTGCATTAACAGCTATAGCAGGGGTGGCGAACACGCGGCTCTAGAGCCGCATGCGGCTCCCGGCCAAAATTAATGCGGCTCTTTGCCTCTTATCATCATTTTGTATATTGTGGCTCTGTCGCGTTCCTCCTTGGTCTTGGGGGTGGCGCCCCCAGTGGCCGTTGTGGCACGACGTGAGTGGGCCCCGTGAGGAGCGGCGTGGCTCTGGAGGCGAGGGTTTGGAAAAGACGGGGTAGAAGAGGACCTCAGAATGGCAGGGGGCGGGGTTGACGTCACCCCGAGCGCCCCTCTGCAGACACTCCCGCACGACCTCTGGCACGCTCCGTCTCTCTATCCCTTCTCTTGCTCTCTGCCAGTCGCTCCGTGTCGCTCCTCCCCGGTCCCTTCTTACGGCCGCCTTTTATTTCCTCCCCCCTCCCACTCCCGGGCCACACCACTCTTCCACTCCCGGCCCCGCCCCCCTTTAACAGAGGAGACGCGCGCCGCCGGGTAGACGCCCACCGGACACGCGCTCCCTGTCATCCGGTCGCCGTTGAGGCCGCGCCACCGGCCCTGCTCCCCTGTCGCAGCTTCTGTCACGCGTCTCGGGCCGGGGCTCTCGCCCCCGTGCCCGAGCGCGTCCTGCGGTCGTCTCGTGCAGCCGGGCGTCTTCTGGGGAGGTTCGACGTTGGGGCGCTGCCTCCCTCTCCCGGTCTTCGGCGCTGGCATCGGCCGGTAGGTCGGGGTGTGGGGAGTTCCTCGGGGCGTCGTTGTTAAAAGTATATGCTTTTGTGTGAGTGTTTGTTTTGGCAGGTCACTGCGTGGTGTGGCTCTCTGACTCTCACAGTTTAAAATTTTGGCTCTTTTTGTCGAACTTGTTCGCCACCCCTGAGCTATAGCATCAGAGGGTGCCAGGGTGGCCAGTTGTGTGCGATACCTTTCAGCTGATCCAGTCTGAGGATGTGGACAGGGTTCATGGAAGTTTGAGACTTGCCACCTGCTTGTGTGACCCTTGTCCCTCCTGGCTGCTTAAATCTACTGGGAGGGGCTGGTGGATTGGGTAACCCTGCTGGGGCTGGGTGGGCTGGGGGAGCGGGCTTAGTAAATACCTCTCTGAGAGAGGGAGTGGTCACTACTGCCTTGAAGCAAGCAGTGGTGTGTCCACTCTTAAAGAAACCTACTCTGGACCCAGGAAAGTTAAATAACTACCGTCCAGTCACACATATACCATTCTCAAGCAAGGTGATTGAACAAGTAGTGGCTGGCAAACTTCAGAGATTCCTGAATGAAGCAGTTTGTTTAGTTACATTCCGGTCTGCTTTCAGGTCTGCTTATGGGACTCAAATAGCCTTGGTCACGCTGGTGGATGACATGTACAGGGATATGGACAGGGAGAGTGTAACTGTAATTTTCATGGACCTCTTAACAGCTTTTAATAAAATCAATCATGGTATCCTTCTGCATCCCCTTTTGGGAGCTGGAGGCACTGTTTTGCAGTGGTTCTGGTCATACCACAAGAGTAGGTTTCAGACCATGGTGTTGGAGGGCTGCTGTTCTGCCTTTAGCCTATGGGTTTCCCCAGAATTTCATTTTGTCCCCCATGCTTTTCAATATGTGTGTAAAGCCACCAAGAAAAGTCATCCAAATATTGGGGCTGAGCTGCCACCAATATGCAGATGACACTCAGCTCAAAGTTGTGCCACCAGCAGATCTCAAGGAGGCTGTAGAAACTAGAGGTAGTGCTAACAAGCTGAAACTTAATCTCAGTGAAACAGAGGTGCTACTGGTGGTAGGGAGGGTCTGACCCAGGAAATCAGGTATCCCCTGTTCTGGACTAGGTAGCACTCTCCTAAAGGAGCAGGTTAGTAGCTTGGAGGTACTTCTGGATCCAGGACTCCTGTTGGATAAACAGTTAGTAACAGTGGCTAGGGCTGCCTTTCACCAGCTTCGGTTCTTTCCAAACAGAAAGATCTTGCCACTGTGGTGCATGCCCTGGTAGCATCTAGAGTTGGTTACTGCAGTACAGTCTGTATGGGACTGCCCTTGTTTGGAAGCTACAGTTGGTACAGAATGCTGTGGCTAGAGTATTGACTGAAATGGGTTATTACTGCAATCTTGTTCCATCTGCACTGGCTTTCAATTTGCCCCCGGTCTCAATTCAAGGTGCTGATGCTTTAAAGCCCTGTACCACCTAGGACCAACATATCTTAAGGACTGCCTCCTCCCATATGAACCTACCAATGCACTCTTGTAATCTTCAGAGGCCCTGCTTCAGTTGCCCCTTCCATCTGAAGCTATGCGGGTGGTGACCTGAGAAAGGGCCTTGTCTGTCATGGCACCAAAACTTTGGAACTCTCTCCCCAGGAAGATTAATCTGTCTCCTTTTATCAGTGTCTTTCATCAACAGGTGAAGGCTTTTTTGTTTTGTCTTGCATATCCTATTGTTGTTTATTTAAGTATTTTAATTGATTTTTTATCATTTTAACTGTATTTTTCATTGTTGTTTTTTTATATTCACCACCTTGTGAACCCTGATAAAAATGTTTTAAATAAAATAAATAACTGCTGTGGGGGGAATGTCCTTTCTCAATAACAGAGGCTTAATTTGTAGAAATGGGCAGCTGAAACTTTTCATGGTATGGAGGTAAAGAATTTCCCCTGATAAATAACATCCCATTAATATAGTTTCAGGTGGGTAGCTGTGTTGGTCTGCAGTGGAAGCCCAGTAGTGCCTTAAAGACCAACAAGATTTCCAGAGTACAAGCTTTCCAGAGTCAAAGCTCCCTTCATCTAATTAAACCTCCATTAAAGAGGCAAGCATTTTTCCTCCAGGCATGAAAAGACACCTGCAGTCATGTGACTAGCAGTGGTGATGTAGTTCTGATGCAGAACTTGGGTGGGTGGGTATCTAATTTAAAAAAACCCCTCTTGACAGTTAGAGTTTGGCCGTTGAGACTGTCAGGTTTTTTTGGTCGGTGGATACTGTGCCAGGGGACTGACAAGTCATGTTGGACCTCTCTGAGTCTGAGTAGTAAATGAGATTTCTCTACAGATTCCAATATTAAGGGAATCTGAGAAAAGCCAGATGTGGTTCTATACCATAGTGAAATCTAAGGAGTCTTAGAAAGGAAAATAAGCTCCTGGTGGTTAAACAAGAGATTCATGTTCCTCTCACATAGAATCTATACCCTGCTGGAGGGAGAGTTGGGTTTAGTGGATTTAGTGTGTGTCAGGAGGGTTTACTGGACTAGTGGGTGTCCAAAAAAAAGAAAGAAAGGGAAAAAACCCCAAGGCACAGCGGAGGTATTTCTCTGTGGAGGTGGAGAGAACCTGAGAAATCCAAACGGAAACTAGCAGTCTAGAACAGCACAGGGGTTGAGACTAGAGAAAGCGTGTTTTGTACTGTGGTATCTGAAGTGAATGATTATAAATTAACTGACCTAAAGCTGAACTATACCATCTGAAACAATGTATACACAAGCATCAGCTTTTCCCTTGTATATATATTCCCTGCCTGCCCGTCCTTGTAAATAAAATTGTCAGTTGATTTTATTGTTGCATGTCATAGGTGCCTCAGTGTCTGACAGAGTGAAGTACTTGACAAAGTTAAACCATAAGCTTCATCCCAGAAAAAGGGCGGTGCTCATGAAAAGCCAGAGAGATTAATATTTATAAAAAGGTCTCATCAATAAGTAGCTGGGTGTGTGACAGAGGGACGAACTGTGTGGGTTCCTGGCTGAAGAGGTGGGCAGACAGTGTCAGTGGAAAATAAGACTCCTCCAACTTGTGAAAGTTTAAAGGAACAAATCCCCACAAACTCCGAAATAAGTGAGTTCGTCATACCTACTAGGAAGAATTACTTCCTTCTAATTCCTTTAGTATATTTTTATCTCATTTTTCTCCCTGATAGGGACCAAAAGCAGCTTGCAAAAATATAATTTAAATAGATTTATAAATTCAGTGTTTTTTTAAAAAAGTAGACAAGACATCTTGGGCTGATGTTCACCAAGTCAATCCAACTGACCAAGGCCATGGGCTATAATCCACAGATAAAAGATCCTTTTGACTCTTGCCCTTTGGCTCATACCCATGTCCCCAGTCATACCCAGGAGAGAGAAAAAAATACTCAGCCTGGCTGTTTCAACCTGGCATTCCATTATAAGCCCAATGACTTAAATGGACTCACAAATATATAATTCTATTTAGGATGACACTGTACATCCTGGAACCTTAAAGGCTGTTCATCCCAAGGGCAATCTCAACAGCACTCATGTTTACATGTTTTTGTGGGGTTTTGTTGTAAAGCAATAGTGGCAAAACTGTGAAGAATTCTGTCTTATAGTACCACATTGTGGCTGCGCTTCTGAGAACACTTTCCTGGGAGTAATCACCATTTAATAAAATGGGAAATACTTTAAAGTAGACCTGCTTAGAATTTCTCACTGTTTATGTTATGTGTATATTGATACTATGCTTTATATTTTTCCCTTTAGATTAAGGAATTGCTATATCAAGGCCAAAGTATTCCTGAAGAATTGATTGTAAAGATGCTTCTGAACAAAATGGAAACTCCAGAGGTTTTTCACTTTGGTATCTGTTTTCTTCTTTATCTTGTTTTCTTATTTATCTTTATGTAAGCATACCCTATGATAGCACATACGTATGTGTATCATTCTATAAAACCAGAACATGTGATTTATTTTATTTTTAGATTTTATGTTAAGAGCCTTGGGGGAAGAAATATCCATAGGGTTAATTTCCACAAGATGTTTTAAAAGTAACAATGCATCAAATAACATATTCAGTATAAGGCACTCAAGATGGCAACTAAATTTACTGACACCAGTGCACCCCAAGCCGCAGCGCTCCCTCCAGGAGAGCTGGGGAATGCAGCGCTGGGGCTCTCCCGGCGTCCCGCAAGGCGCAGCAACGGGGCTCTCCAGGTGTCCCTCGAGCCGCAGTGCTCCCACGCAGGCCAGGGAACATGGCGACGGGGCTCTCCCGACATCCCCCGAACCGCAGCGCTCCTGCGTGGGCCTGCAAGACGTGGCGACGGGGCTCTCCCGGCGTCCCCCAAGTTGCAGCGCTCCTGCGCAGGCCTGGGGGACGTGGGGGCGGGGCTGTTCGGGCCTTCCCCGAGCCACAGTGCTTCTGCGCGGGCTTGGGGGACCCGGGGCGGGGCTCTCCTGGCCTCCCCCGAGCCGCAGCGCTCCTGCACGGGCTCCAGGGACTCGGGGGCAGTGGTCTCTGGGCCTCCCCTGAGCCGCAGCACTTCTGCGCGGGGTCGGGGGACCCGGGGTCGGGGCTCACCCGGCCTCCCCTGAGCCGCAGCGCTTCTGCGCGGGCTCGGGGGACCCGGGGTGGGGCTCTCCCGGCCTCCCCCGAGCCGCAGCACTCCTGCGTGGGCTCCCCTGCGCGGGCTCTGGGGACCCAGGGGCAGTGCTTTCTGGTCCTCCCCTGAGCCACAGCACTCTTGTGTGGGCTTGGGGGACCCGGGGGCGGGGCTCTCCCGGCCTCCCCCGAGCCGCAGCGCTTCTGCATGGGCTCGGGGGACCCAGGGGCGGGCTCTCCCGGCTTTCCCCAAGCCGCAGTGCTTCTGTGCGGGCTCGGGGGACCTGGGGGCGGGGCTTGCCGCCACACGGGCTCCTGGAGCAGTGCTTCGGCACGCTCCAGCCCCAAAAGACCCCTGATTGTTGGTGAATTCTCAACAACTTTCACTTTCCCAGCTGAGGTCATCAGTAAAGGTGATTGCGGCTACTTCTGTCCTACTGGGGGGGGGGGAACTCCCACAATTTGTAAGGTCAGAATGAGTACATCTAGGTGTATTTTCTTTTTAAGGTCAGTAGCCTGATTTTATCCTTAGTTTATGGTGTATATAAACTCTCAAAGTATGCTGTATTCATGGTTATTTGTAATATTTGTAATATTACTTGGGTAGTTTCCGTTTTATTTTTAATTTATGAGTTATTTAGAGATCTATAGTTTTTTACGTTCTTGTGTAAAGCAGTACAACCAACATTACATCTAATGCTGTATGTGGCAGAGATAAAAGTAGCAACACTATGCATATAACAGCTTTATAAATAATTGTATATTGCAGGGATCCCCAACCTTTTTAGCCTGTGGGCACCTTTGGAATTCTGACTTGGGGATAGGTGCAACTTCAAAATGGCTGCCACAGGAGGCAAGGCCAGCCACAAAACAGCTGCCACAGGAGGCAGAGCCACACACAGAGAGGAAGCCCCGAAGGCAGAGCCACACAGGCAGAGGAAGCTCAAGTGCAGGGGAGAAGAGGGATAATTTTTAAAATACACTAGGAAAGATGAGTGAGATAGAGTAAAACCACCACTGTATTGGCACCTGCTGCTGAAACAGTATTATTTTAAGCTCCATAGCCAATGAGAAGCCCTGCTGGACAAAGCCCATATGACCCACCCACTTTCTTTAAACACTTGGTGGGCACCATGAAAGGTGTTAGTGGGTGCCATGGTGCCCATGGGGGTACCTGGTGTATCATAACAGCCCATATTGCCCATAACTGGGTGAACACCATTCTCTTAACTTTCCACTACCTATCTGGAGCCCCTTTTTTGATACTGATTATATACAATGTTCTTGGTGTCACATGTTCATCTCAAAACTGTATCAATTTAATGTATTTTATGTTTTTTTAAAAAAGTGTTTAACAGGAGGGGGGTTGTTTGTTTTTTTGCAGGCTATGTTCTCTGTGATTTTCCTTGTCTTTCTGAGGAATACATGACTATAACAGAACAAATAGAAATAATTAGAAATCTAAAATTAAAACCAGATTTCTTGATTAATATTAAGGTAATGTCCTTTTTGGTCATTTCTTAATCAATCTCATTCATTATTCTACATATGTAACTACTATTGTGTAGGAGTGAAATATTGCATTTCTATATTCAAGCTGTCATTCTATATTTGTTGTCTTTAAAAGTATGGGTTCTTGTGCCCCTCCTCCTCTGAGGGGCTTCCCCCTCCTGTGGCCACTGCCCTGGCCTCGCTCGCCCCCCCCTTCAGTGCCGGAGGTCTCAGAATGGGCCATGAGCAGGGTTGACATCACCCAATGCTTCCCTCAGCCCAGCTGGTGCCTTCTGCAGCTTGCGCCCCCCTCTTGTTCTTGAAAAAGAGCAGTTTCTGTCAGAGCTCTCTCAGCCCCACCTACCTCACAGGGAGTCTGTTGTGGGGAGGGGAAGGGGAAGGAGTTTGTAAGCAGCTCTGAGACTCCTTTGGGTAGTAAACGGTGGGGTATAAATCCAATCTCTTCTTCTTTGTCTCCTCTCACCGCTCCTATCGGCTCCCAGCCACTCTCTCCTCCTCGACCTCTAGCTCAGCCCCCTTTTTAACTCTTCCAGCTCCCTTGCCCGCCCCCAATTGGCCACCATCTCAGTTGTCAGGATTGGCTCTGCCCCTGTACAAAAGCTCCAGTGCCCAGCTGAGGCACCAGGTGGGACTGGGCCAGTGTCTGCTTCACCACGGGGCGGGACCACCATGCAGACACCGCGGTGCCTTCCACATTGGGGCTTCCTCCTTCGGGCCTCTTCACAGACTCGGGGCCTTCTCTGGCTATCGCACCCGCCCTCTGCCATGCCGCCTGGACCCTCGGCCTTGCCTGCTGCTGCTGGCTCTCCATGTTCCTGCCTCCCACGGCTGCTGCTTGTTTCCTGGGGCTGTGTCCTTTGGTCTCCACTTGGTCTTTCTTGCTGCCAGGGACCTTTCTGTCAGTAGGCACTGGGCTGGTGGGGGTCTCTTCTGTGAGCTCTTGGAGGGGTTGGGGCACAACACGGAGTCCCTCCTTGAGTCTTGACTGACCCTGGCTGGGACAGGGTGCTTGTACAATCCCTTTTCTCTAGTATTCTCTAGTATTGACACCCTTCATTAACTCAGTTATTCCTGAACTTCTTGGCAACATTTCTCTCAAACCATTGCATTCTCACTTTTCATAGGCATGATTTTTATATTTTATATTGTTGGTTTTTAACTATTTTGTAGCTTGTAGCACATTGATACTGCACTCATTTGAGATGTGGGCTGCCAAATCACTATTTTTTTTTAGCCTAGCCTCACCCTATAGATACCATTACCTTTTCTAAAGTGTTGCCCCTCTGCTACAGAGCTCCTGGAATTGTAGCAAATTGGTTGTCAATTTTGCTTTATCCCCCCCACACACACATACTGAAACTATATTGCTTCTAGTCATGATACAAGTTGGATATTCCCTTAGAAAAAGGCATTCCATTGCATGAGGGCTACATATTGCAAAATGATCAGTGAACCAGGCTAGTCTTTATGTACTGTTAGCAAAAACAGTCTCTTTGTTATTGTGGCCTCTGATTCTCTTACAGTCTCAAGATGCTATTGTGCTTACTTTCATTTCACAGAGGTGTAAGTGTGACATCAACATGTGGCCTTGGGTTCTACAAGTACCTGAGGGTCTTAGCTAGGATAGAAAAGCCTTGATCAGATTCCATTTCCAAGACAAAACTGAATTACTTGTTATTAAAAATGCAGACCTGCAGAAGCTGTGTACTGTAATCCTGATCATAACTGTTTAGCAAATTAATCTTGTATTTAAGAAATAGTTAATCTTTCTGCTTCTGTCGTTCTTGAACTATAGTTCCTGAAGTTAATACTCACCATTGTTTGGGACACAATATTGGGGAACAATATAGTTCATATTCTTTTGAATTTCTACTATAACTTTCTTGTTATTTAAACAAGAATACTTCTGTTTTTTTAACTAGTGTCCTGACTATGATTTGTGCCAAAGACTCTCTGGACAAAGACAGCTTTATACAACAGGGCAGGTATTTCAAAGAGATGAATGGGACCCTGATATTATTGAAAAACGGAGGAAAAAGAAGAAAGAGTCAAATAAAGCTGGGGAAGAAGAGGAGGAAGCAGAAGAAGAGGAGGAGGAAGAGGAGGCAGCTGAGGTAGTATTGCAGTATTAAGAATATTGTGAAAACTTAGTCATTCAAGAACAGATTGTGGAATACACTTTCCTCCTGTTTGTAACTGAAGACAGCATCTATTCCTCAGTAGAGAAAAGTATAAGAATATTAAAACAAAATGTCAAATACTTTCCCAATAAAAAGTTGCCATGCAAATTATTAAATATCTAATGAACATTCACAGTGAATTTATAACCATGTGTGTACTCAATACAATACTATGCATGATGTGGAAGAATTGTTTCTTTGCCAGGTAAATTATTCAGGTTAATACTAGATGAAATGGTGATCACAGATCTCCATTTGTCTTTAAAAGCTTATTTATTTAGATATCTTGCCTATTTCTCCAGCCATGGGGGTTCAGAGCAGCTTACAAAGTTGTGCTGTGTCAACTGGTGCACACTACGTTATCAAAAAACAAACCACAAAATCACTACAACTAGAAACAACAAAACATTTACTAGTCCCCTAAAACCAGGCATCAGCTGGGCAAATTAGGCTCCTTCAAAAGCCCTCTTGAACAGAACTGATTTGTAGCACATCCTGAAGGTAGGTACCCTCCCAACCTCTTCTGGAAGGTAGTTCCAAATGGAATGTTCCTCCATGGGAAATGCCCATTATCTTGGGTGGGGAACAGCCAGAAGAAATGGCTGGGAAGTCGGTAGCTGGTACATAGGCTCATACAGCAGAGATGGTCCTTTAGGCATGTGGGCTGCAGGTCATGAAGTGCTTTAAAGGTAAGAACCTGTACCTTGAATTGAACTTGCAAACAGGAAACCAATGAAACTCTTATAAAATGAGTATGATGCAGTCAAACCTACATGCTCTACTCAGCAGACAAGCAGATGTACCAGTTCAAGTCTCCAAGTTGTATTCAAGGGCATGTTGTAGTATAGGTGTACAGGGCTGCACAAGGAAGGAGCAGGAGTTTAATACTTTCACATGTTCATGGTTCCTCTGTCTGAGTCAGAGCCCTGCACAGCTATAATTATGCTTCAAAAGATACGGAAATAATATCAGGTCTGTTGTGACACTTGCCTGTTTAAACTCATATACCTATGATGAAGGCTTAGGTTGGGTGTGAGCCCCAGGACTTCCAAGGTGAGCTCTTAATATGTCTGAATGTACGCTATGCCTGTATCAGCCCTAACTAGCGACAGTGGGATCCAGATCTCACTGACCATCTCTCTGTTTTTGGAGATTTTTAAAAACTTACAAAGTAGTGTTTTTCTGCATACACTATGTCTGTCAGTAGTCCCATTTCACTGTATTATTTAATTATCAAATTTGCTGTTAGAAGGAGTGAAGACTATGATCATGAAGCCAAGTAAGAATCTTCTTCCTCTTAGGCAGCAGCAGATCAACTTATGCTGACAGAAATTTTACCTCATTTGGTTCAGAGGCCAGAAGATTTTTTAGAAAATGTACAACGGAAAATTGATATGTACAGGGATACTGTGCTACATCCTTTAGAGGTAAGAACGAAGTAGGTATCAGATCTAGCAGGAGGGGTGGGATCCATTAATTCCCTTCTCTTGCTGCAGAGCTCCAGCTCCTCCCTTCATGATATTCCTAGGGGCACCATCCTCCAGGAGCAGAACTTGGGGGGAGACATTTGGGGTTTCAGGGCAAGGAGAAAGGCAAGAAAGCTCTGCTCCACTGGCAATCAGGGGAAATTTATTGCAGATTCTAGCCATTATACTATAACTTCTACTGGTAATGAAAAAGTAAATAAATACTTAATTTCAAATTGTCATTTTTATATATTTTTGATAACCAACTTTATCAACAACATCAATAACCTTTATTGGGATGACATCATACGCATGGACCAACTTTATCCTTCCCGTGGATCCAAGAGCAGTACTAATAAATTATACTAATGACTCAGATGCCCATTGCCACTATATATCATGATATTTCATAGTGGTAAAAATCATAGCCCAGAAGCAAAAGGCTGGATTGACAGATTAACACATTTAGTGGAATATTTTAGTGCTTGGGAAAATGTGATTGTGCCAGTCTGAATGTCACAGCCACCCACTAAATAGTGTCTGTGATGTGACTAATGACAAATGATACAGTTATATTTCTGCTTTCGTATGCCACAAAGTCTCATCCCATTCCCAACAGTGATTTTTGTGGAAATTATCAATAGTGTTTTCCTTTAAAAAAAATGTTCTGCTACCTTTCTTTATCTATTAATGCAGTTTTGTTGTAGGGCCTGTCATCTAGCAATCTGTTAAAAGTGGGGGGATCTGAGGAAGACTTCAACCACCCAGTGCTGAGGTGGTTGTTCTAAAGAAATTTGTTTTCAAGTGGAGGAAGATGGAAAGATTGTCTTTGGAATGACTAGCAAAACATATGGGGTTACTGAACACGTGCTTTTCACATAGGCATGCTTCTTGTTATGGAGCTGTCAGGCAGAAGCAAAAAGCAGATACTGTATAAATGAGCCTTCAGTTATACCAGTAGTATAACAGGAGCTGCGGTGGCTCAAGTGGTTAAGATGCTGAACTGCAGGCTGTGGAAGGTCAGTAGTTCAGCAGTTCAAGACCCGGGTGCCGCAAGACGGAGTGAGCTCCCGTCTCTAGTTCCAGCTCCTGCCAACCTAGCAGTTCGAAAGCAAGAAATTGCAAGTAGATAAATAGGGACCACTTTGGTGGGAAGGTTACAGCGTTCCGTGCACCTTGGTGTTTAGTCATGCCGGCCACATGACCACGGAAACGTCTTCAGACAGCGCTGGCTCTTCGGCTTTGAAATGGAGATGAGCACCGCAACCCTAGAGTCGGATTCGACTGGCTTTTGAGCGAGGGAACCTTTACCTTTTATACCAGTAGTCAGGACAAAATGAGCTTTGCTACTTTCCATTCTAAAAATAGGAGTGAAATCAAAAAGCAAGAAAAAGGATCCTATAGCATCACAGCTAGTTCCCCCAAAGTGAGGCACCCTTTTCCATGGCAAGTGGGACATTTGATAGCCTCCCTCTGACCAGGGCTTTTTATTTTATTTTAATTTTTTAAAAAAAGAGGTGCCAGAACGCTCAAGAGGGAAATGAAGTTTAAATCTGCATACTGAAAACGCATGAACTTTTAAACATTTTTGAAAGAATTTTGTCAAAGTGTTTCCAGAATTCTGTTCAGGGTGCGTTCTTCCAGAAAAAAAGCCCTGCCTCTGACTAGTATTGTAGTTTAGAGTCAAGATTAAGATATGGCCTGCATTATTTCAAGGAACGACCCTGGTTTGACAAGCGGAGCAAATAATATTGTCAGTCTGCTGCCATGTTATCTTTTTCTTTGCTTATTTCTGAGGTGTATTCTGTGCCATATCATGCATGACAAAGCATTATGATTGTAACACCACCCCATGAGTTTTTGAACTATAATGATCTGTATGCACCAGTGCAAGGCACTTGAAGTGTAGTCTTAAATTCGTATATTTCTTGCCAAGAATAATACAGTGCAACTATAGTTTTACAAACACTGTGAATACAGCTGTCTGTTTCTAGAACAAACCATTTTTAAATGCTTATCAATGGAAAGTTTTGCCATTAGATTTAGTGGGAACAGAATCAAATCCAATGCAATTTTTCCCCCATCACTGTTCTGATTTAAAAAGCACTCTGTTTTTAAAATATTCAGGAATTAATGGCCGAGCAGGATTCCCAGTATCTTATTGAACTTGATGGAAATAAATCTCCAGATGAACTTTTTACAGTAAGTACATAGCACAAATTGCATATCAAAAAGAAGCCTGATTTATTCTTATGGCCCGTTCTGCAGTTTCAAGAATATCTCTGTTTAAAACAATGGTTGTGCTTTATCAAGCAAATTTGTCAGAGCTGCGGCTTTGCACAATCACAATGAACATTGTACAGTCACATAATAATAAGCTTGTAGCTTTTATCCACAAGTTGAGTCTATATGATTAGCTTTAAGGGGCAAGCTAGTCCAAAAATTAGTTATACATTAGTTAGGTTCACGAATCTTCACTGAACTGGTTTCTATGTCAGGCTGATCATCTCTGTCTTCTCATACACAGAGATAAATATATTATAAAGAATAGTTTCATGCTTTATAAACCTTAATTCCAGCTATCAGAATAGAAATCTTTTACCAGTAAATATATGAAATGTATGGATCAGTCCATTGGTCCATCTATCTCATTATTGTCTAGGAGTGTGCAATATTTTTTTAATGTGGTATTTTTGGTTTGGGTCTATTGGAATGGAACTATTTTGGGTTTTCCAACAAACCCTAGATTCAAATCTGAGATTTTTTGGAAATCCCAATTTTTTCTGGGTCCAATCGAAACGAGAAGAAAAATACCAGATTTTAAAAAGCCAGCCTCTTGGCTTTTTCTCAGCCCAGTTTAAACTGGGCTGCAGGAGAAGCCAGTGCAAAGCTGTGCCAATGGGGAACAATCTGCTCCCCGTGGGCACAGGCGATCCTGGCTGGGCTTGCTTCTCCTGCAGTCTGGTTTAAACGGGGCTCCACGTGGCACAGAAGATCCTGGCTGGGCTGACTTCTGATTTAAACCAGGTTGCAGGAGAAGCCAGTCCCAAGTCAAGCTGGCAGGAACAGTCTGCTCCCCACTGGCACAGCTGAACCCTGGGCTATCTCCTACAGTCTCTTAAACTTTAAAAGCACTTCAGTAGAAGCCTGACAAACAGCTGTTTTTGGATATGCCCAGTAATTCCTGAATAGATCCAGGATTTTTTTCGGGGACTTTTTCCACAGTTTTCCTGAGAAAACCCCGAAATGGGTTTTTGGGATGCCGAAATCTACCCAAAAAGTACCAGTAAGGTATTTTTCAGATAGATTTTTGGCTTGGGTAGATTCAGATTCTCTACATGGGGCTGCCTTTGTCGCTGATCCGGAAGCTGCAGCTAGTGCAGAACGCGGCGGCTAGGCTGCTGATGGGCCTCCCCAGGTGGGAGCACATCAAGCCTGGGTTGAAGGCGCTGCACTGGCTGCCTATAGCATACCGTTCACTGTGGGAGTCCCCAGCCCTATTGGATGAATGGGAGTTACTCTCTCTCTCTTTGACCGCTCTCACCATCCCCACCCCACTTCCCTCTCTCTGAGGCATCCCAGTCTCTAAGACTCGTGGTGGATGAGGAAGAAGGTGCAAGAGATATCATTAGGCACCCTGAAGAAACTAAGGTAAAACACATGGGGATCGGAATAGTCATGTTTCATGTTAGCGATAAGAACCACGCGACAACGAAAGCAATAGACGGACTCGGACTATTTCTTGGTTAGTGGTACCCCAATTGGGGGCCGCAGGAAGTCATCGTAAAACAACTTAAGGCCATCTGACAAAGAAAGCACTTTATTGTTTTATTAATTGGAATGTCTTGATTGTTTTAATGGTTTTATTGGATTTTATGTATGGGCTATGCCCTTTGTAAGCCGCCCTGAGCCCGTTCGCGAGGAGGGCGGGGTAAAAATGTTTAAATAAATATAAAATAAATAAATAAATAAATATATACACCCCTATTATTATCTTTGACCGGCAGCTGCTATCTAATGTTTCTGCTGGAGATTCAGTTAGGGACTCTGCATGCAAAGCATGTGCTTTACCATGGAGGCATGGCCCATTCTCCTCTGTTCAATGAATAGATTTTATTATTATGTTTCGAATATGGTGTCCAAAAGTGTTTTGTTATGTACTCAGAGGTAATATAATTTTAACATGGCAAATCGAATAGATTTGTGATACAAATATATGTTCTCATCCAGAGTTTTACAAATGCTTACACACAGCTGCTGCATGAGGTGCTTCCCTGCATACTTCAATAGACAGTGTAGTTCCACCTCATGAAAGAATGTATGTGCAGGGAGAACCTAATCGTCCATTGAAATCTTATGAGCCGAGGACCTCAGTGTACACAGAGCGTCTACAACAGATCACAAGTTTGAGTCACTAGACTGTAAACGAAAACTATTGATGGTTTTGAATTACACTGAAGCAAGTTCCCATATTTCTGATGACTGTACACAAACCCTATTAATTCAATTATTAAATGATAATGCATTGAAAATGCTGCTTTCTGTTTAGTCAGTAATATCCCGTCTTCAGTCCATGGGCCTGAGAAATGGAGCTATTATAACCAGACTTCAAAGTGCAGAGGAAGAAATTCTAGAAGGACTGGAAAATGTAAGCCTGATACTTGGTTGTGTTGTGATTGGTTGGCTGCAGTGATAGTGTGTGACTGTAAGAAGTGTATTGCTGTTACAGACCTAAGAAAATGATTTCACACTTAGCAGATGTACGGCATAACTGGAAAAATATAATCCAGGAGGATGATAAAGAGTTGATCCTGCCTTATCAGCTTGCCACTGTTCATTATTTTGGGTCACTTAATTTTTATTCCATGTATGTGCTGTCTTTCCAAAGCAAATAATTTAAAACTCTTTATTATGATTTTTGCCCTTTTTATAGTATGTAAAGTCAGTGCAATAGTGTTTGCAATTGTGTGAAGGTAAATTTTCTGATCATGTTTTTTAATGTAGCCCAATTTACACCTGCCTTAATTGTCATTCTGAAAAACAGGATGAAATCTTTCGGGCTCTTGCAGCTTACAAACTTGTAGCACCTAGATATAGATGGTGGCGCAGCAAGTGGGGAAGAATATGTCCCGTGGCTTTAAAAGATGGTGAAATTGTCATGGGATCACCAGACCTTGCAGTCAGGTAAGGTCCAGGTGGGGGAACCCCCACTGATTTCCCCCAGCCCTGCGCACTGCAGCCTCCACCCCGCTCGCAAAAAGACCCTTTTAAGGTCCCCGCCAGTTAGGTGAAGCCCTTGAAATTGGGCAGGAGGGGAGGGAGTGGGTGGCCAGGAGGGTGGTCGCGGGTGGCCAGGAGGGTGGTCGCTCTTGGGGGCAGGGCTTGGATTCCCAGAACACCCCCCAAATCCCCCCTACTGGAGCGATGAGGGGACCTGGCAAACTGTCAGACTCACAGCAAACAATGAAATACTCTTGCAGGAAGGTTTTATTTTATTGAAGCCATGAAGTACTTAGAACAGATTCCCTGTTCAGAATAACACAAGGTGCTTGATACAGGTATAATAAAGCAAGTTTAAAATAACATGGGCCAATAGATATGGTTCCCGCGCCCGCCTTGAGGACTCATCGCGCCAAAACCCTGAGAAAGCAACGGTTGTAGCTGATTAAACAATTATGCTATTCTCACACTACTGTTCATTATAGACTAAGCAAAAAGCCTCCAAACGCGAACCACCTGTAGCCTTGGCAGATAAGGTTCCTTCAAAGCACTGCTAGCGTACATGGAAAGGAATGCAGTTGAAGATGAGCACATGAGGGTGAGGGGGGGACATGCGCATGAGAGTCTAAGCCAGTCCCGGGAAGGAGAGGGGGTGGTGGACACATCTCATATGCATGGAAAAGACATATTGGCAGCTTGCTGACACAAACCTACCCTCTAAACCTATAGCTCCATGTCTTTGTTTTCTTTTTAGCTTCTTAGGTAAGATGTACACACTTTCATCTGAGGAAGCCCTGAAAACATTCATGCTGAATCCTCGTCCCTTCCTGCTACTACCTATGCCACTTCCACCTTGTAAAGTGCTAGTCATTGGACCTCCACTTTCTGGGAAGTCAACCCTGTGTGCGGCAATTGCAAACCACTACATGGGAAAGGTAAGTATAAATTAATTTGTGTAACTAACTCGTGAGAAATTAGATTTTAGAGTAGTTTTTAAAAATAAAACTAAGACTCACAGGCATGTAATGGCTTTCCTGACAAGGGGCCTGTGACAAATGCACTGTGGCCTCAAACTGGGAACTGGCCTTTTAAACCTGGGCTCCACTCTCACAGGGTGTCCTCCTCAGCCTTCCTACTGTGCTCCTCTCCCAGGCCTTCTCACCCATGTTGTCTCCTAGACCGCAGTCCCCAGAGCCACTTGTGCCTGCCTTGCCTTCTCTGGCTGCATCCTGTTGCCCTCAGTGACTAGTGCAGTCTTCTCTTGCCCTTCCCACGGCTTTTCGTGCTGTCGTTGCCTCCAGTCCACCAGCTGAGAGCTGCTTCACTGATCCCAGCTGTTTCTTTGCTCTCCCAGCCACGTGCCGGCTCCTGAGTATCTGCTGCTATCATCTCTGCCCCCATCTCCACTCATCTGCTCATTGCCTCCTTTTAAATGCATGATGCTGCCCAAGATAGACTTTGCAAATAATATAACTTTCCCAAAAGATTGCTCACTTGTCATAATGCATACAGGTAGCAGGCTATCCTAGAGCTTCTGCGAAGATAGGGTCCATAGCAGAGCTCTTGTCTGTGCATGCTGGAAAACGATCAAGACCAGCTTGGGGGATGTAGAGTGTGCAGTGACTACGAGAAAGTGGGGAAGACAGTTTATTATTATCATTTTCTGTTTGTATAGGAGAGCAACCCTTCAAGAAGTCAGGGACTTTAGTGGTGTGAGGAGCCTATGAAATTCCCTTAGTCTGGGGCTTTAAACTTCAACGCCTGTAATGCAGGTGGGAAAAAATGAAGTCCTGTAGCTAGCCCTGTAACTAAAACCGTGCTTGCTATGTAGATGCTGAAATCACATGACAACTTTTGCAATAGCAGCCTTTACATTCTTCCATGTGTTCCTGTGGAACAAGGTTTATTGTGGGATGAGGGTTTGCTGTTTATGACTCCGGTTGCAAAATTAGTAAAGACAATAAATAAAATAAAGTACCTACTGATCACTTAAGAGTTCCTGGAACTTCAACTGACACTTGATCAGTAGAAGATGGAACGCACGCACACACACACACACATACTTACCCGACCTTTCATAAGATTTAATTTTCAAACACTTTCTTTAGGTTCTTGACATGGACGTTCTTCTTAAGGGACATTTAGAAGAAGCAAGATCAGCGCTCATAGAGCAGATTCGTGCTGAAGCAACAGCAGCAGGCATTGCTAAAGTGAAAGAAAAAATAGAAATGGAACGACTGTTCAGGGAGCAAGGTGAGGAGGTTCATAGTCCTTTGTTTTATTAGTGCTTTGGGCAACATTGGAAAGGTATCCTTTCAGCATTCTTCCCAAAAGTAGATGAGATATTGTTATACTAACAGCATAATTACTCATTATCTAAGATCTAATGAGTAAGAACTAAGTAACAAAATCAGAGGCATTTAATGCAACCAACTGATGGAAGAATATGCACCAGATAATCTTCAAGTATCAAGGAGAAAAAATATAATTTTTAATAACTCCATGATGATAGTCAGCAATAGTTAATGGTTTACATACATTTAATAAAAAGGCATTAAAGTGATGCATTTATTTAGGATATTTTTATTCCACCTTTCTGCCATATGGCAGAAACAAATCTAATACAAATTCACATATTAACATAAAAGAAATTATAAAAATAAATAGAATAAAAACAGTAGCCCAAACATTCTACTAACTAACTAATACTTCAATCCTACACAAAGTAACTGTAGTCCAAACCCACTGAAAACAGCAGCTGCATAATAAAAGCATTATTCTTTCTAGCACAGGAACATTTTTAGAGCACACCTGTGTTACACAAATAGGTATCCAAGCAGGGGCTCTAACATGCAAAGCATCCTTTGCATACATACATATATACATAAGGCCCAACATGCATCATCTGGGCAATTAAATGTGGGGTCTTCTGCCTATGTGTACTACAGTCCCAATTCAGGGCAGCACTCCAAAAGAATGAGAGAGGAAATAGCTTAAATAAGAAAAATATTCCCCCTAACATAAAGAATGGGAAAATGGAATGGCGAGAATAGCAAAACAACAACAGTAAAAGAGTTTTATACAATAAACAAATGCAAAACCTTTACATAGCCTACCTATCAATGAGCTATAGTGTATTTAGGGGGGGAAATCTGTGGAAAAGGGAGCCAACTAGCAGTAAGGCAAGCTGGGTTGATATTCTGAAATAAAGGAGAGAAATAAAACATAAATGCCCCAGTAGTGCAGCCAGAGGATCTTTAGAGGTTAACAATGATCAGGGTCCTCATAGTTGCCACCAGAAGGCAAGGAATCACATAGCAAAGTAAACTTTCTGGGGGAGTGGGTTCCAAAGCCTGGATGCATGAACTAAAAAGAACTGTCCCAAATGTCTATTCAAGAGGTCACAGAGAGCATGGCTCCAGCTGAATGATGAATAAAGCCACTGGTAGCTTCATAAGGATGGCAGTCATCCTTTAGTACTTTGTCATGAGCCATTTAGAACTTTAAAGGTCATCAGTAGAACATCAGATTGGACATGGGAACATATTGTAAGTGAGATTTAGGTAGCTTCTGACTACTTATCAGTTATCCACTGACCAAAGTGTCTTAGAAGTCCAAATGGATGTTTGGCATCATTAAAAATTGCTCACTAAATAAGGGACAGTAGTCATATGTAAATTATCCATATGTAAATTAATACTCTCTTACAGTTGCGTTAGGTGCCCAAGAGGCATCTAGTGATAAGGAGTTAGAGGACTTTGAAGAGAGTTTCCAGGTTGATGAAAAAAGTTCCTCAGAACAACCTAGTGCTTCAGCATCTAGAAGCCAAAGAGCTGGTACAGTAACTTTTTTCTCTCATATTAATACAGCCTATAGCAGGGATGAGCAGGCTTATGGCTTGTATGTTCTACTTTTCTTTTTTGAAACCAAAGCCTAGTGGCAAGGTCTGCCACATCCAGTAACGAAAGTCCTATAAAGTCCTGAGTGGTATGAGAATCGGGTATCTATAGAACTGCATTGCTGTATATCACATCATGCCAATTAGTAACTACTAAGACATGGTTGGCTCTCATCTCCTTACACCAAATTCATGAGCTATGATATACCATATGTCTATGATAGTATAGATCTTCGACGTGGTCTCTGTGCATCACACCCATGGGATCTAGTGCGCACGCGCTGCATCGATCGGTGCTGTAGCAAGCTCATCTTCTTCGTGGTCTCTGTGCTTCACACCAATGGGGATCTAGTGCGCCTGCGCTGGATCTGCCGGTGCCTAGCAAGCTCTTTTAAAAGGATTTTCGTGCCTGACCCAACTGAGCATGCTCAGGAGCCCCAGTGAGCATGCCCAGAAGGGCAGGCACGGACATCCCGCCAGTTCTTTCCTTTCCGCCGCGCTGAGCAGACCTGTCTTCGAGAGGTCTGGCCGGATCGCTGCCTTTTTGATCACTTTTAGTGACTAGCTCTCCGTTTTTCCCTTAGTTTTTTCTTCAGTTTCGTTTCCTTTTTCTGTTTTTCAAAAAAAAAAAAAAGGAGTCTTTTTGGGTTTTTTTGTTGTCTGAGGTAAAATTACCTCAGGCCTTCGGGCCGCTGGCCCCCCCCCCACCTCCTTGTCGTTGGCTTTTTCTCCTCAGTCTATGGAGAAGAAGACGAAAAAATTCGAAGAAGTGGGGATTTTTTCAATCGTTGCCGTACTTGTGGAAGTAAATTGGCTCCTCCAGACGGTCATAAGTACTGTATTTTCTGTCTTGGGGAGACTCACAATCCAGACTCCAGTGAACATTGTGCGCAGTTTCAAACCAAACTCGGAAGAACAGAGCAGCACGTTTAAGAGTTTTCCTCTTGGAGAAGGCACTCCAACCGATGGCTGACTCGCCGGTTCCTTCGTCTGTCGCCATATCT